GCGGCAGCTGCAGGGGCGGCTGCTCCAGGGGCGGCTGCTGCAGGGGCAGCTGCTCCAGGGGCCACGGGCGGCTGCTGCAGGGGCGGCTGCTCCAGGGGTCAGGGGCGGCTGCGGCAGGGGCGGCTGCTCCAGGGGCCAGGGGCGGCTGCTGCAGGGGCGGCTGCTCCAGGGGCCAGGGGCGGCTGCTGCAGGGGCGGCTGCTCCAGAGGCCAGGGGCGGCTGCTGCAGGGGCGGCTGCTCCAGGGGCCAGGGGCGGCTGCTGCAGGGGCGGCTGCTCAAGGGGCCAGGGGCGGCTGCTGCAGGGGCGGCTGCTCCAGGGGCCAGGGGCAGCTGCTGCAGGGGCGGCTGCTCCAGGGGCCACGGGCGGCTGCTGCGTCGCGACGCGCAGGCGTCGCGCCTCGCGGGTCCCGCAGAGGCGTCGCGACGAGGCGGGGGCGACGCGCGGGTCCCGCTGAGGCGTCGCGACGAGGGAGGGGGGGACGCCCGGGTGGCGACGGGGCGGGGCCGCGACTGGTGACGGGGCGGGGCCGCTACGGGCAACGGGGCGGGGCCGCGAAGGGGCCACGAAGGGGCCGCTAAGGGGCCGCTAAGGGGCCGCTAAGGGGCAGCGAAGGGGCCACTAAAGGGGCCGCGAGGGGGCCGCGAAGGGGCCGCGAAGGGGCGGCGAAGGGGCCGCTAAAGGGGCCGCGAAGGGGCCGCTAAGGGGCCGCGAAGGGGCCGCGAAGGGGGCCTCTAAGGGGCAGCGAAGGGGCCGCGAGAGGGGGCCGCTAAGGGGCCGCGAAGGGGGGCCGCTAAGGGGCAGCGAAGGGGCCGCTAAGGGGGCCGCGAAGGGGCCACTAAGGGGCCGTTAAGGGGCAGGCCACCAAGGGGCCGCGAAGTTTTCCGGGCAGGACGCATAGCGCGTTTAGGGCAGGCTAAAAAAAAAATTAGAGGTGGGCCCTTGGAAGAAACGGTCCCACTAGGGAACCCGCTCTATACCATGTGAAGAATGAGGAATGATTGACTAAGGAATGTGAAGGGTACAAGTATGAAACCCTAGGAAACCATACCCCTTAGTGTCTACCCCACTACAGCCTAGATAGACTATAGCATATAAGTTTGACACAGCCATTTGTTTTGAATGATTTAATATCTTTTGCGTATAATTACGAGTGCATTTATCGACTGCTTCAGAGAGGTAATAAAAAAAGGTAACAAAAGGGTGCCAGAAGGGGCCGCCGGACACGGTAGGACAGTGGAGAAGTGGGCAAGGACAGGACCCCCAGAGGGGTCTGCCAGGGAGACTGCCACTGGCCGACTAAGCAACGTGAGTGTGGTGCGGTCTCGAAAGAAGGAGCGGGAAGCACCCGAGTCAAGGGTGAAGGTGTGGGTGGCCAGAGCCGACGCGGTACCTGAGAGCGCAGACTCACCAGCACCTGGGGCAGCAGACTCACTGGCACCTAGAGCAGCAGCCTCACCAGCACCTAGAGCAGCAGCCTCACCAGCACCTAGAGCAGCAGCCTCAATGCCCGGGTCAGGCGGAAAATACCGGTAACAGTCACCCTCATCACTAATAGTCACAGCATACATGGCAGCAAGAATAGCATCATAATCAAGATCAAAGATCGCAACACCCGCCCTAAACAGCTCGCCCCAGCGAGGGATCTCAGTAGCGTCGGGGAACTGGTGACGCCAAGCGTCCGTCAGACGGCCGAAGCAGCGCTGGGTGGAGTGCGGACCCCCACACTGCTCACCCGCGCGGTCGCCGGTACGGAGAACGTAGGTACAGGGGCCAGCACCCCCACCCCGCTGACGAGCAGTGTACCACTCACGAAGCTGCTGGGGGGAGGGGGTCTCACGAGTGCGCTGCTGCTGCTGCTGCTGGCGCTGACCACCACCGGAGCCGACCCTCTGCGTAGAGCCGCCCCGACCAGCTCCACCTCCGCCGCTGCTACCTCCACCACCGCCTCCACCTCCGCTACCTCCGCTCGCACCGCCACCACCGCTGCCTCCTCCGCCTCCACTGCTGCCACTAGTGCCCCCACCCCCGCCACCACTCCCACCTCCACCCCCACCCCCTCCTCCGCCTCCACCGCCTCCTCCACCGCCCCCGCCAGCTCCTCCAGCTCCCTTGCCGCCCTTGCCCTTGCCTGAGCGGCGTCTCCCGCTAGGGGCAGACGCCGCGCCGACCGACTCAAGACCAACGAGGTCGGCCGCAGCAGCAGAGGCAACAGAGGGCAAGAGGGGGGAGGGGGAGCACCCCTCAAAGACAGGGGTACGAGGGTCACCACGGGAGGCTCCTACAGCGACTATACCCTTCTCTGCTGCTAGGAGGCGCTCCTCGAGGAGGTCAACGGTGAGAGTGGTGGGGCAGACAGAGAGGAAGTGGTCCCTAACTGAACGAAGGGTGTCAGGGAGCCGGGTGACTATGTAGTAGAGGGTGATGTACATAGGGGGGGGGTTCTTGGCACAGAACTCAGCTGGAAGCGCAGCGCGGTAGCGAATGTCACTAGTGCGAAGGTGCGTAATGAGGTCAGCGACTGTGGGAAAAGCGGCGAGGTCAGGGAAGAGGTACGGCAGTATGAGGCGGTTAAGAGCAGCAGTGGCAGGGGAAGAGTAGCGTGCAACTACAGCGTCGTACAAGGTCTTAGCACTCTTGTACTGACTAAAATGCGCACGCTCAGCGGTCGGTAAGTGGCGGCGCACAGCAAGGCGGGCAGCAGCATCGCGCGTGGCCCACTGTGAGCGAACAGTGGCGTCAGCATCAGGAGCAGGGGCAGGGGAGGCACCAGAAGTGAGGTCAAAGAGGGAGAGACCGTCTGCCCTATCGCACTGTAGGAAAAGCTGCAGATAATCTACCCAGACCTCAAAGTCAACAGCCCGACCCTCAGCGTCAAAGGTGAGAACACTAGGGGTGGCCATGACAGCAGTAGAGAGGCAGTGAGCACAGTGGGGTAGGGCAGTGCAGTGGTAGAGGCGCTGCTCTTACCAGGCAAGTGAGGCGCTCCAGGGTAGGCTGGTAGGCGGCGGCGTCTCAGCTGCAGTGCGGCTCGGCGGCTCGGCGGCTCGGCTGCTCGGCGGCAACGGCGGCTCGGCGGCTCGGCGGCTCGGCGGCTCGGCGGCAACGGCGGCTCGGCGGCTCGGCGGCAAAGGCGGCTCGGCGGCAAAGGCGGCCCGGCAGCTCGGCAGAAAGGGCGGCTCGGCAGCACGGCGGCACAGCGGCAAGGGGCGGCAACGGGGCCGCTGAAAGGGGCGGCGACGGGGCCGCGGAAGGGCGGCTACGGGGCCGCTGAAAGGGCGGCGACGGGGCCGCTGAAGGGGCGGCGACGGGGCCGCTGAAATGGCAGCGACGGGGCCGCCGAAGGGCGGCGACAGGGCCGCTGTGGGGCGGCGACGTGGCCGAGGGGAGGAGGGGGCCGGCGACGGGGCCGCAAGGGCGGCTTGACGGGGCCGTGAAGGGGCCGCGAGCGGCTGTGAGGGGTCGCGAGGGCGGCGCGACGGGGCCGCGAGGGGCCGCGAAGGGGCCGCGAGGGCGGCGCGACGGGGCCGCGAGGGGCCGCAAAGGGGCCGCGAGGGCGGCGCGACGGGGCCGCGAGGGGCCGCAAAGGGGCCGCGAGGGCGGCGCGACGGGGCCGCGAGGGGCCGCTAAGGGGCCGCAAGGGCGGCGCTTCAGGGACGCGAGGGGCCGCTAAGGGGCCGCGAGGGCGGCGCGACGGGGCCGCGAGGGCGGCGCGACGGGGTCGCTAGGGCGGCGCGACGGGGCCGTAAGGGCGGCGCGACGGGGCCGTTAGGGGCCGTGAGAGGGGCCACATGGCGCGACTCGAGCAGGGGCTAAGCGCGCTCCGGGCAGGAAAAAAAAAACTCGCTATTCGGTGGGCCCTAGGAACAGTTCCCACGAGGGAACCTGCTCGATACCATGTGAAGATTGGAACGAGAATGATTGCATTGAGCAGCATGAGGAGTACAAGTACCAAACCCTAAAGTGTTGTACCCCATATAAGCTACCCCACTACAGCCTACACAGACTATAGCATATGAGTTTGACATGACTTTCATTCCAATGCACTCAAAACACACAATCATAGTACGAGGGAACAACACAATCTGAGACATACACTATATTCGAATGCAAACATTTTTTTGTTAAGTTTCGAAATATTTGTTCAGTGCGAAGTTTTTTTAACTATCGCACCTTATTTCACCGCCCGGTGCCCATTGCTCCAAAGGGTTGAGATTTGCACAGATTGCCCACAAACTGCTTTGTGACAACACGAACCGAAATTAGGGTAATTGCGGGTGATCATTGGCACTTCGGAGACGGTGTAAGGAATTCTCCTTTTCCTTACTTCGCATCCCTGCTCGGGGCATACACCATTGTTCCCGCCAACAGCACCCATCAGTAAACCGTTACCACTCGCGACACTCGCCTCAACACTGTTCCCTCCACTGTTCACGACGCGACCCAACCTCACGGTTCGGTTGGTATCCCGCGCTCCGGACCTCCGCCTCGACAATTCCCAACCTCGGCGCTAGGCCCGTCGCGCATCCCAGATTCACGCATTACCGTTACCAATGTAGTTTCGCTATATATTCTTCGCTCATCCCTTCGCTCATTGTATTGTTTTGCTTCGATAGTGCAATTCTCGCTCAATTACTCAATTGCACCAGTTGGAAAAGAATGTTGGATTAGGCTTTGGAGGAGTTTGGTTGGGTTCTTAGGAAATGTGAGGGTGGTGTTTTGAGGGGAAGGGGTTGGAGTGGTATAGGATGGCACGTTTAGAGTGTGCCATTCACAATACTAGCTGGGCCACTTGCGGATCAGAGGCACAGGAACCTACAGAGCCACGCCTCCGTGTTGCAAATCGGCTGTAAATTTCAAACCCGCCACTGGCTTCATTCGCCACTGAGCGCAACGGGAGCAGCAGAGCTAGCAGTGGCTGGGTTGACCGTGGTACGCTTGCGAGTCCGCACACGTGTTTCATTCCGGTTCTCCCCACGCAGCAGTCCTCCCGCCGTGCGCCATGGCATTGCGCGCGGCCTCCAGGCTCCGCGCGCTGCATTCCGCCGTGCTGCGCGCCCCGCCTTCCGCCGCCGCCTCACCCCCTCTCGCTCTGTTTCCACCGCCTGGCGCTTCAGCACCCGCCCTAGAGGTTCGGGGCTTTGGGTTGTGCGGGGCTATTTCGCGCGCGGGGCAAGGGCGGAAGGGCAGCCGTGCGGGGGGCGCCTTTGCGGTCGGCGCGGGTCAAAAACTCGTTGCGCGGGCGACCAGCAGTGGCAACAGAGGCGACAAGAGCGGCAGTAGGAGAAACAGCAGAAGTGGTGGCAGCAGCCGGGGGAAGCGCGGTAACTCGGGGTACGGACGCAGTGGCGGACGGGCGCCGGGAGGCAGCGGAGGGAGGCAAGGGGGGGGGTGGGCGGAACCTGACCGCGGCGACGGGGAGGACGGGGGCTTATCGCGCGACGGGAGAGGTGCTTCGGCGGAAAAGGCGGAGCTCGCGCGAGGGCCGTCGCTCTCCCGAGGAGTGTGCCCCCCGCGGGTGGAGCGAGGCTGGGCGCGGGAGCGCGCGGAAGCAGCGGCGCGAGAGGCCGAGGGAGGCCGGAGCGGTGAGGGTTCCGGGGAACGAGAGGATAGCGGGGAGCAGCGGCGCGGGGCTGCGCGCGACGGGCGGCGGCAGAGTGGCGCACGGACGCAGGGTGGTCGGACGGAAGGGGGGGCGCGGGGGAGGAGCGGCGGAGGCGAGGGGGAGTTCCACCACTGGTGGGGCCGCAAGGGCAAGGACGCGTGGCAGCGCGGGGTGGGGGAGGGCGCGATAGAGAAGATGCAGGAGGCGTGGGAGAAGGGGACGTGGGGCGGGGAGAAGCTGGGCACGTGGGCGCGCAAGAAGCTGAAGCAGGGGTATGGGTGGCGCGCCAAGGCCGCTGTGAAGGAGTGGGAGCTGATGGAGGCGCGGTGGATGCAGGAGGACAGGGCGCGGCTGCTGGCGGAGTTCAACGTGGTGTGGGACGAGGGGCGCGCGGGGCAGCGCGGGGGAGAGCGGGGCCTGGTGGGAGGAGAGGTGGATGGAGTGTGGGGCGGGGTAGTAGGGGAGGGGAGTGATGGGAATGATGGGGCAGATGTGGCAGGAGGGGAGTTGGAGGGTGGGGGAGAGGGTGCGCGGGGGGAGAGGGAGAGGAAGGGGGGGAGGCGGAGGAATGAGGAGTTTCTTCGGTTGATGGAGGGTGCTGGTGGGGAGAGCATGGGAGATGAGCGCACGGACGGGGGTGATGTGGGTGGCGACAGTAGCGATGGTGCTCGTAGTAGCAGTGACAGCTACAGCACTGGTCGTGAGGTATCGAGTGAGAGCACTGCAGGCACTGGCGGGAGCAGCCGCAGAAGGGAGCGGGTATACCGAGCCGTGGAGATCGACAGGGCGGCATTCGTTCGGCAGTTTGTGGTGCCGGGGCTGAGAGTGCCGCCCGCCTCGTGTGGGCCGCTGGTGAAGCAGCTGGCGGCAGCGGGGTGCCTGCTGGACTGGCCTCGCCTCAAGAACGTGGCTCGCGTGGCAGGCGATGGCGGGCATGGGCAGGGTGGGGGGGATGGAGGGGATGGGGTAGAGGAGAAGGGAAAAGGAGGGGAGAACAGGAGGGGGGGCGGGAGGAGGGAAGAGGAGGGTATGGCACGGGTGGAGGTGCTGGGTGCAGTGCCCTTGCCTGATGGCCTTCCCTGGCACGCCCACCCACCACTCTCCCTCCCTGCTCTGCATGCCACGACCCATGGCAGCAGCAGCAGCCCTGGCAGGCCAGCCAGTCGCATCCTGCTGCTCCGAGAGGACCTTCTGCACTCACCCACTCACATGCTGCCACCTGTCCTTCAGGTGACGTCACGCCAGCACCTGCCTCGGCACACAGCATGAGCATGTCATGATGCTCTCCCACCCTCCACCATGCTGTTTGCGATGCCTCAATTCCCAGTTCGTCTTGAGGTGCGGCCGTCCGGGGCGACTCAATACATGCTGCACCTGTTTGCCACGCATCACTCCAAACTCGCTACAGGAGTGTGGCGTTGTGTCCCTTGACATAACCTTCTTTCTTACTACCCTATGTCATGTGTAACCCTTGTATCCATCCATCATTCCGTGCCATCCGTGTCTCATCCGTCTGTGCCATTCTCCAATGCCACGTGGTTCTCTCCTCCCTGTCTGCCTCATGTTTCTTGCCATTCACCTGCCATGCGTGCCACCCGCCTGCCATGCCCTCGCTCCATTCGTCCACTTCCCGCATGCAACCACTCACTTTGCACCTCTGCCTCTGCCCCGGCCTACCGGTCCATTCCGCCCACCCTTGTGTTGTGTGTGCCGTCAGACCATCCTTGGCATGCCATCAGCCCCTGCGGGGGCGCACAGCGTGGACCATACTCCACGCGCCATGCCTGCTCAGGATGAGCATCAACCATGTCATCACGATACCAGCCAGCGACACGAGGGAGAACACACGGACGGAGGAAGCAGCGGGGAAGGCGGCAGGGATGGCGTGGTGGGGGCGGAGCTGGTGGCGTGTGCAGTGACGGTGGGGTATGAGTACTGGACGGCAGAGGACATTCTCAGACACGTGCTGCCCGCACACGTGCCGGTGCCCACGTCGTTTGAGAGTGTGGGGCACATCGCGCACCTGAACCTGCTCGATGTGCACCTGCCGTACAAGCACCTCATTGCGCAGGTGAGCACCTCATTGCGCAGGTGAGCACCTCATTGCGCAGGTGAGCACCTCATTGCGCAGGTGAGCACCTCATTGCGCAGGTGAGCACCTCATTGCGCAGGTGAGCACCTCATTGCGCAGGTGAGCACCTCATTGCGCAGGTGAGCACCTCATTGCGCAGGTGAGCACCTCATTGCGCAGGTGAGCACCTCATTGCGCAGGTGAGCACCTCATTGCGCAGGTGAGCACCTCATTGCGCAGGTGAGCACCTCATTGCGCAGGTGAGCACCTCATTGCGCAGGTGAGCACCTCATTGCGCAGGTGAGCACCTCATTGCGCAGGTGAGCACCTCATTGCGCAGGTGAGCACCTCATTGCGCAGGTGAGCACCTCATTGCGCAGGTGAGCACCTCATTGCGCAGGTGAGCACCTCATTGCGCAGGTGAGCACCTCATTGCGCAGGTGAGCACCTCATTGCGCAGGTGAGCACCTCATTGCGCAGGTGAGCACCTCATTGCGCAGGTGAGCACCTCATTGCGCAGGTGAGCACCTCATTGCGCAGGTGAGCACCTCATTGCGCAGGTGAGCACCTCATTGCGCAGGTGAGCACCTCATTGCGCAGGTGAGCACCTCATTGCGCAGGTGAGCACCTCATTGCGCAGGTGAGCACCTCATTGCGCAGGTGAGCACCTCATTGCGCAGGTGAGCACCTCATTGCGCAGGTGAGCACCTCATTGCGCAGGTGAGCACCTCATTGCGCAGGTGAGCACCTCATTGCGCAGGTGAGCACCTCATTGCGCAGGTGAGCACCTCATTGCGCAGGTGAGCACCTCATTGCGCAGGTGAGCACCTCATTGCGCAGGTGAGCACCTCATTGCGCAGGTGAGCACCTCATTGCGCAGGTGAGCACCTCATTGCGCAGGTGAGCACCTCATTGCGCAGGTGCGACCGGCTGGGGGCCGCACCTCATCGCACACATGCTCACCATTGCAACACGTAGCGTGCCAGCAGGAGCAAGTGCATGTGCGCGCCACACGCATTGCTGTCGTGCAGCAGCAGCACAGAAGCCACAGCGCGAGGTCACAGCACAGCATGTGCACCTGCCGTGCGCATGGCATGGCCTGACTCGGATCAGGCATAGCACAACAAGACCACGCTCACATCCACACGTGTTGCACCTACCATGAGCACTCTCTATCCGCGCACCTCCACTCGTCTGGCCTCTTCCACCCTCCCCTGCAATTTCACATTCTCCCCTCTCTCCGTCCTCCGTCCTTTCTCGGCTCTTGCAAAAGCGCACACACCGAGTGCCTTCTCTTCGAAACAACCCAAATAGCCATGCTCACCTCAAGGCATGCGCACCCACTCATGTACCCAGCACAATCATATCCCCTTGTCAATATGCCTCCTCCCAACCACCTCTCCCCATCACTCCCTCTCCACCTCCCAAAACGCCCACACCGCCTCCCCTCCTCGCCCCCCGATGCATCCATCCGCCATACAAGGTGCTGCTGGACAAGCACAAGCCGCGCATCCTGTCGGTGGTGAACAAGACAGCGGCCATCCACGCGGTGTACCGCACCATGAAGCTGGAGCTGCTGGCGGGCAGCTTCCGCCTCGTCACCACCGCCAGGGAGAGCGGCCTCGCCTTCAAAGTCGACTTCGCCCGCGTGTCCGTGCCCGCCTACCCCTTCCGCCCATACCCTTGCTGCTGTGCTTCTGTGCTGCTGCGATGCCCTGCTGCTGTGCTGCTGTTGTGCCGTGCATGCAGTGGTCTCTTGTGCTCTTACCTCTGTGCTGCGCTGCAGTGCAATCTGGTGTCGTCCAGTCACTGTGGATGCGCATATTCACCACACCTCTGCACACTACCTCACGCGTGTGCCACTGCCGCCTCCTTGTGATGCCCTCGCTTTCCTATGCCTGGCCTGGCCTCGGTTCTCTGCGGTGTCCGTCCTCTCGTGGTATCTGCCTACCTTTGCCTTTGCTTCACCTGTATTTGCCCGTCTGAGCAGTGCCAGGCTCTTGTGTCATTGGGTATTCGCAAACACCTTTCACCGTGGTAGCATGGACTCGTGCTGCTCTGGAGCAGTCTGTGTCTATCAGTGGATGTGCGCCCATGGCTCTGGCACACAGCGTGTAAGTTGCATCTGCCACCACCTACGCCATCACTTAATACACCACCCTCGGACGCTTCCTGCCACGTGTCCCGTGCCATGCGCCATGAGCAGGTATTGGAACTCGCGTCTGGCCACGGAGCGAGCTCGCCTCGTGGCAACCTTCACCTCAGCCGATGTTGTCTGTGAGCTCCGCGCCCTTCATGTTGTATTCGCCATTGCCTACCCCTGCTCCTGCTCTTTCCAATGTTCACGAATTGCATTGGCCTGCCAATGGCAACATTGTCTGGCAGTTCCCTCAGCTCCTCACCCCCCCGACCCTCTTTGTGCCATACCACATTCTCTGCTCTGCGTGCTCACAGCGTGGTCTCACCAGTGCTGTGGCTCATAAGCTAGCGGGCTCTGCCCCCTGCTCAGCCCCTCCTCCCCTCACTTCACTTCCGTGTTCAGCCTTCCCCAATATCACTTCACGCTGCACCAGATGCCTTGCAAATTGCACGTGTCGGGCCTCACTCACAGCAGCCCTTGCCACACGCCCTGCTGCCGCCACGTATTCCCGGAGCGCCACCATGCTGTGCAGGCGACGTGTTTGCGGGGGTGGGGCCGATCGCGGTGGCGGCAGCCAAGCGAGTGAAGCGCGTGTACGGCAACGACCTCAACCCCTCCGCGCTCACCTTCCTCGCGCAAAACATCATTGCCAACCGCGTGGACGGCAAAGTCGAGGTCAGCCTGTGACGCCATCAGGCTGTGCATGCTCCCCTCATTTTGCAACCCACCAAATGCCACCTGCCTTCAGCTCTCTCCCCTTCCTGTATGTGGCTCCAACCTCTTCTACCCGTCTTTAATTTCTTTTTTATGGTTGCAATTTTATTCACAGCTCTAGCTCTCCTTTTGCACACCTTTCCGCTGTCAATTGTTGTTTCCCTTTCTACCATCAGATATTCAATCTGGACGGCCGTGATTTCATCCGGCACCTGCTCTCTCTGCCGCGCCCGGTGCACATGACACGGATCGTCATGAACCTGCCTGCAGACGCCATCGAGTTCCTCGGTACGATTTGTAATTAGAGTAGATTTTTGAGATGTCTCAGAAGGCTACTTCTATCACGTGGGTATCTTCCTCGGTGCAATTTGTGCTTCTGCCTTCATTGAAACTATGCTTGCGCATGATGACACAAGTCTTGGGCCTCGTGGCTGCCTCATGGCGCTCATCTCATCGCTCCCACATTCCACTAGCTGAGATAGCAGCCTGCTGATGGCCATCAACACATTCATCGCCACCCATCTCTCTCACACCCCGTTGCTTGCCTCACCTCCGCATCCCACTCCATCCCGCTCCACTCCTCTCACTCCACCATCCTGTGCCAGATGTTCTCAAGGGTGCATTTCCTCTGGGCAAGTGGGGCACCAGGACCCCACCGCCCATCATCCACGTCTATGCATTTTCAAAGGCCGATAACCCTGAGCTAGAGCTATCCCAGGTACTCTCACACTCCCCCCCCCCCTCATCCTCGCAACCCATCCTTGCCTTTTCGTCCGCTGTGTCACCGCTCGTCTAGTTGTTTACATCAAGTTTATTCGTCTGTTAATGCTCCCGCCTGGATGTGAAAGTAGCAAATTGAACAAGTAACTTCATTAGAGGAGAAAACCTAGCATACATAGTTGGAAGAGAGACTTGGGAGAGAAAGGTGAAGGTTGGGTTGACCTCACTTGGGGGAGTGAGGCAACCAAAAGTCAAGTGGGTTGGGTTGCCCACACTTTGTAGAAGTGAGGCAACCCTAGGCCCACTTGGCTTGAGGTGACCTCACTTGTGGGAAGTGAGGCACCCATAAACCAAGTGGGTTGCATTTGGGGGCTCCACCACAATTGGGTGGATTGGCACCCCAAAGTGCAAGACTACACCCAAAGTTGGGTGTAGTCCTAACCCAACTGTACACCACAATTGTTGTACAGTCACATGTGTTGGCATGCTACACAACATAAATTTTAACACAACCCCTTAGCATGCTAACACAAGAAGAGAACAACCCCTGAATCAAGGGGCGCCCGGGCGAGCGAGGCCAATGAGGCGGAGGAAAGCAGAGTGCGCAGGGCGAAGGAGGGCCTTAGTGAAGATGTCGGCCAAGTTGGCCTCGGTCGCAATCTTGCGAACGGCAATAAGGCCCTTCTGGACAAGCTCGCGAATGAAAAAGTAGCGGAGCTCGATGTGTTTGGAGCGGGCATGATAGACGGGGTCCTGAGTGAGATGGATGGTGCTGGCATTGTCTGGGGGGCGCCAAGCTCTGCAAGAAGGAAGCAGAGCCAGCGGGACTCCTGGGCGGCCATGGTGCCAGCGTAGAGCTCGGCCTCCCAGGTGGAGAGAGAGATGGCGGAGGAGCGGGTGGAGCGCCAGCTGATGAGGCCGCTGCCAAGGGTGAAGCCGTAGCCCTGGGAGGAGCGGCGGTCCGGCTGCGTGTCAGCCCAAGAGGAGTCACTGAAGCCCGAGAGAAGAGGAGGGGAAGGGCCGCCAAGGGTGAGGGCAAGGTCCTTGGTCCCGCGAAGGTAGCGGAGGACCCGCTTGGCAGCTTTCCAGTGCTCCTCAGTGTGACGACCGGTGCCGACAAAGCGGGCGAGCACGCTGATGGGGTAGGCGAGGTCGGGGCGGGTGCACATCATCGCGTACATCAGGGACCCAACGAGCTCGGCATAGGGGTGGGGGGAGGAGGTGGGGGAGGAGGGTGGTGCGAGTTGGTGGCCGAAAGGGAGGGGGGTGGAGACAGGCTTGGCCTGCGCCATGTCGAACTTCTCCAAGACCTGGCCGATGTAGTGGGACTGTGAGAGGGTGATGGTGCGAGCAGGACGGTTGCGCGTGATGGCCATGCCCAGGTAGTGAGTGAGGGCGCCAAGTTTTGCACTTGAGACGCTGCTGCAGGGACAGCTTCATCTGCTCCATGTCGGCCCTGGTGTCAGAGAGCATGATCATGTCGTCCACATACACCAGAATGAAGAAGCGGCGGGGGGAGGAGCGGATGAAGAGGCTGGCGTCGGAGTGGGAAGCAGAGAAGCCGAGAGACCCTAAGGTGGTAACCAGCTTCGCATGCCACTCACGCGGTGCCTGCTTCAAGCCGTAGACAGGGCGACGCAGCTGCCAGATAGTGTTCTCAGGGAAGGCTGCGTGGAACCCGGGGGGTCGCCGGAGGAAAATGCGCTCGTGCAGGTCGCCCTGCAGGAACGCATTGGAGACGTTCATGGAATCGATCTCCATGTTGTCACGTGCGCCAATGTCGAGGGCGGCGCGAAGGGTGGGTGGTTTGGCGGTGGGGGCGTATGTGAACCAGTATTCCTCGGCCCAAGTCTGCGTGAACCCCTTGGCGCAGTAGCGGGCTTTGTACACCGGATCTTGGTGATCTCACGGATGCGACTCTCAGCGATGCCGTTTTGCTGAGGGGAGTGGGGAAGGGTGGAGGTCTGCTGAATGCCGTATGTTTTGCAATAAGTGGAGAGAGTATGATTGATGAACTCACCCCCACCGTCAGAGTGAAGGCGGCCTATGGGACGTTTGAAGTGGTTGCGGCACTGCTCAGCCCAGTTGATGACCACAGCCGGCACCTGGTCTTTCGTGTGAAGAAAGAAGACGGTGGAGTACCGACTGTGGTCGTCGACGAGCACGAGCATGTACCTGTGCCCCTGACGGGAGCGGATGGGATAAGGGCCCCAGAGATCCATGGGAACAAGGTCAATGGGGGCGGGAGCGAAGGTGGGATGACTGTGATGGGGGGACTGTTTGAGCTTGCCATGAATGCATGATGGGCATGGGGGAGCAGGGGAGGAGGGGAGGGGAGGTAAGGTGGGAGGAAGGCTGTTAAGGAGGCGAGAGGTGACGGTGGAGCGAAGTGCGGCGAAGTTGGGATGGCCGAGTCTGTGATGTAGGAGCACTGCAGGATGGGAGAGGGCAGTAGAGGAGGAGGGGGATGGGGTGGGGGAAAAGTTGGGGGGGGAGGAGGAGGCGGATGGAGTGGAGGAGGAGGATATCGGAGGAAGAGGGAGAAGGGGAGGGGGAGGGTGAGGGGGAGGAGGAGGGGGAGGGGGAGGGAGAAGGGGACCGGTGGAAGTACCACCACGAGTGGTGACGTGACAAAAGGAGGGACGGGGTGTGCGGAGCGTGTAAAGGCGAGTGCGAGGGCAAAGGGGAATGCGCAGGAGGAAACGACCAGAGGCGGTGTGGTAGAGATCGCAGTAGGAAGCAAAGCCAGGGTATATGACGGTAATGCCAACGCCTTGGAGTTCACGGTGGGAGAGGAGGTTATTGCGAAGGGTAGGGATGTGGAGACCAGTGACTGTACCGGATGGGAAGGCGGTGCAAGGAAGGGTGGAGAGGTGAGTGCAGGGGATGGAAAAGCTGGAGTCGGCACCATGAACCTGGGTGGGAAGTGGGAGGGGGGTGAGGGTGCCAGCGTCTTTTAGTGCGGTTTCGGTGGCCCCACTGTCAAGGACAAAGTCCAGGGTGGGGGGGGAAGGAGAGGGAGGGAACACAGAGTACTGGAGAGTTGTTTCGTGGATAGAAGAGGGAGAGAGCGGCGGGTGCTGCTGCTGTAAGTACTGTTGCTGCTGCGGCTGCTGCGGTGGGAGAGACTGTGGTGGTTGCGGCTGGAGAGATTGGGCTGCTGCTGCTGCTGGAAGCACCGCCGATGCTGCCGCGGTTGCTGCGGCTGGAGAGATTGTGGTGGCTGCTGCTGCTGGAAGCACTGCTGCTGCTGCGGATGGAGAGAACTGTGGCTGGTGCTGCTGCTGGAAGCACTGCTGCTGCTGCGGCTGAAGAAACTGTGGCTGCCGCTGCTGCTGGAAGGACTGTTGCGCTCGCGGGGGTGGAATCCGCAGGCGAGGAAGGCGTAATCGCGACGGGAGGGGGGGGAACGGCGGCGACGGCGTAGGTCGCGGCGAGAGTATGCTAGTGATGGCTAGTTGAGCCACGCGTAGGAAAGGGTTTGTAGCTGTGGGGTGGGCCCATGGGAAAAAAAAACTGAAGGGAGGGAGAGGTAAGGCCTAGGAACAAGTAGCTCTGATACCATGTGAAAGTAGCAAATTGAACAAGTAACTTCATTAGAGGAGAAAACCTAGCATACATAGTTGGAAGAGAGACTTGGGAGAGAAAGGTGAAGGTTGGGTTGACCTCACTTGGGGGAGTGAGGCAACCAAAAGTCAAGTGGGTTGGGTTGCCCACACTTTGTAGAAGTGAGGCAACCCTAGGCCCACTTGGCTTGAGGTGACCTCACTTGTGGGAAGTGAGGCACCCATAAGCCAAGTGGGTTGCATTTGGGGGCTCCACCACAATTGGGTGGATTGGCACCCCAAAGTGCAAGACTACACCCAAAGTTGGGTGTAGTCCCAACCCAACTGTACACCACAATTGGTGTACAGTCCAGGCCCTACGAAGTCAGACTTTTTTCTCTGATTTGCACAAAAAACTCTGATATTTCAGATTTTTTTTCCAGTGTACTCTGTTAAAATCAGACTTTTTTGGGCCCAAACTCTGTAATTTTCAGACTTTTTTTAAGGCTAACTCTGAGAGTTCAGAGTTTTCTGAGAGTGTACTCTGATCATTCAGAGTACAAACGCGTCCTTGACTGGTGATTCGGACTTACGGGTCACAACAGATTCGCAATGTCAACGCAAAATCGCCTTGACACAGCAAATCCGAGCCTTACAGCACAAAATTTTCGCCCAATCATAGCAAAATCGCCCTGACACAACAGATTTGCGCTGTCAGAGCACAACAATTTTCGACCAATCACAGAAAACTCGCCCTGACATTGCAGATTCGCTCTTTCGCACCACAAGATTCGCCCTGACACATATATTCGCCCTGTCAGAGCATGATTTATCGGGAATCCCCTTGGTGTTGGGTGTTTCGGTAGCAGATGAATGAAACATTGATTACATTCCGATGAAACATTGAATACATTGTTTTTGAATGATCAGACTTTTTTTTTAGGACACTCTGAAATTTCAGCCTTTTTTTTATACCAACTCTGAGATTTTCAGACTAAAATTGTGTACTAGTCTGACGAATCAGACAGGCCAAAAACGAATCTGAGGGCCTGGTACAGTCACATGTGTTGGCATGCTACACAACATAAATTGTAACACTGGACTCTCTTATGCTCTCGTTCCCACTTGCCCCTTGCGCCAACAGCGCATATCAGCAGTGCTGGGCCACGTGGTCACGGGCATTGACTTCCACAGGGTGCGCCTCGTGGCGCCCTCCAAGTGGATGTTCTGCTGCTCCTTCCGCCTGCCCCCCGCTGTAGCATTTGATTCCTGGTGACCACCCTGCCTTGTGTCGTGCCGTGTGGCATTATAGTAAACGCTTGGTAAAAAAGTCTGCGTGCAGCCATTTCACTAGTAGGATAAATGATCAAGTGGTAACTTGCCCTGTTCAATTTCATCTTCGACTTCAAAGTAGCTCAGCGAAATGTGCTTGGTCACAATGCAAATTGCGGATCGATTATGAGAGAGCTGGAACTCCGAACCATGCATTACATACGCTTCACTCAACAGCTCAGCAGTTCGGTTTCCTATTGTAGTACTGTAACCTCCCGTATATAGGACCTGGGGTCTTATCATTAATGTTGTGAAAAATGGTTCGGTGAAGAATACCGATAGGGCAAATTTATTGAGACCCCTGACCTGAACACTTTAAAAAGTCATAGAGCACGATGTATTCACTCACATAACACTAAAAAGGCGAGATTTTACCGAGGGTGTCCAATTCTTTCCCTGACGCGGATTCAAAAATAGGGCAGGGAACGCCTTCACGGGGCACCCACTTGCCGCAGTTGGCGGCATCCACCAGCTGTCTCCATTCCTAGTGCAGACGGGGCGAGGCGCCATGGATCTGCTGCCGTCGAGCGCGGACGAGTTCAGGTCGCGCGAGTACTGGGACAGGTTCTTCAGGAAGCGCCGCGGGAAGGCGTTCGAGTGGTACGGCGAGTGGCACGAGCTCAAACCGCTGCTGCTGCGGCCCGAGTGCTGCGGCACTGCACACCGCACAGGCGGCGACACAAGCAATGAGTCGCCGGTGCAGATCCTGGTGGTGGGGTGCGGCAACTCGGAGCTGTCCGCGCACCTGCACGACCACGTCGCTCTTCCCCACGCCCCCGCCGGGCGCGTGCCCGCTGTCATCACGAGTATTGACTTCAGTACGGTTGTCATCGACGAGATGAAACGCAAGAATGACGCGGCGCGGCCGAACATGAAATGGCATGTGATGGACATGACCGCCACCACTGTACGTGCGCTGCGCGCAGATGAAGAGGCTTCAGGCGGCGTGCGGGACGTGACGTGAGCGCGGGTGGGAACGGGAGGCGCATGCAGGGGCCAGCAGGTGGACGCCGCAAGCGCCGGGAGCTTCGCGCAGTGCCAGGGTTTAGCGGGGGTTTAGGGGAGTGTGAGAGGGCGGGGCGGGACGGTGGAGCAGGAGTGAGGGGCGCACGTGGTGGCGAGGACACGGGCAATTTTCGACCCTCCCTTTGCTGTCCACACTGCTGTGCTGCTCGTGTGTGCTAACCCCGTGCCAGTAGTGCTGTCACGCGCTCGCACACACAGCAGTGCAGGGCCGCGGCGAGGAAGCCGCAGCGCCCGCACTCCCCCGTTCTGCTCCTCCCCTCCCCTGCTCTCAATCCCCCGTTCCTTCTCCCCCATTCAACCGCCCTTCTTCCACCCTTCTCCCCATCCACTCGTCCCAATCCCGCCCCCTTCCATTCCCCCTGTCCCCGCGCGCACCTGCGGCGCGCGTGCAGTACGAGGGGGGCGCGTTCGACGTGGTGGTGGACAAGGGCGGGCTGGACGCGCTCATGGGCGAGGAAGGGGGCGACGCCTCCACGGCGGGCGCGCGCCTGCTGCACGAGGTGCAGCGCCTCGTCGCCCCGGGGGGCGGCCGGTACCTCTGCGTCACCCTCGCGCAGAGCCACGTGCTGGGTGCGCCGGGGGGTGGGGGGCGGGGAAGGAGAGGGGCTTTGGGAGGCGAGGTGGGGATAAGTGGGGAGATTGATGGTGGTCGGCTGGGTGGGGTGGTGTGGGGTGGATGGCGGCAGTGTGAGTGGAATGGAGTGCATGAGCCCCCCGCACACATGCGGGCTGTGTATCACTCGACCCACCCACGCACTTGCAGCGCCCATATACCCGCGGTCCGCACCCAGTTGCTCATCCTCGGCCTCGGCTGCCTCGGCCTCCCCCTCGTGCGTGTGTCCCCGTCCTCTGCGTGCAGAGCTGCTGCTGCGTCACTTCCGCGCCGCCACGTGGACCGTGGTCATCCATGCCGTGCCCATCGTCCCGCACACCGCCCCCTCGCCCCTGCGCCCCTTCCTCGTCGTCGCCACCAACACCGCGCCGCGCTCCCCCACCTCCTCCTCCTCCCCCTCGCCCGCGGCACCGCTGCTGCCGCTAGTGGCGACGACGTTCGCGCGGGTGGCGCACAGCGGCATCCACCCCGAGCAGCTGGCAGACATCTTCACCCTCGTGGACCGCGAGAACCACATTCGATCCGCGCCCTGCATGCCGCCGCCACTCCCTGCGCCCACTGTGGATGCGAGCAGCAGCGCGGATGCAGGTGCCGCACCGCCGTCCCTGGCAGCGCTGGCAGCGTACAGCGCGGGCAGGCGTGTGCTGTGCCGCCTCACCCCGCATGTGCCAGGGGCGGCAGCAGCGGCGCAGGGAGAGGAATGTGGGGAGGTCGTTGTGATGGCTCCACCGCCGGATGATGGCACACCCTCCCCTGCCACGGACTCACGTGGTGGTGGCAGCAGTGCGTTCTCGGGTGTGGTGCTGGACGCCACGCCCACCATGCTGGATGGCGCCTCCCTGCCCTGTGCCGTCTTCCTCGTGCCCCAGGTGACTGCTGCATGCCACATCCCATTGCCGCTTGCCTCATGCTGCACAAGGGCTGATGGGGGTATGCAGCATGATTGAATGGGGAAACGGTGGCGGGGTGGGCTGGTGTGTGTTGGATGGTGGCAGCGTGCGTGGAGTGGAGTGCACGAGCCCCACGTATAAGCACCACGAGTCACCCCGAGGGCCACCCCGGTCCAGGCCAGCCTAAATTAAGGATGGTGGTACGGGCCGGCTTTTTTTAAAATATGTTGGCCCGGCGCGGGCAGCCCCAGCGGCGGTCCAATGGCCCTGCAGCTGAGTCGTTTGTAGCAGCAAGTAAGCGAAAAAATGCTTCAGCAGCGTGCGACCCCCTTCCGGTCGTTAGTTTGCCCCTGTCCTATGAGCTCGCGCGGCCGTCCTTGGGTGCGCACCTTGGGGTGGGGCCGGCCCCACCCACGCCTGCATATGGTTGCATGGCCGAGGGCCGGGTCTTTTGCCAAGCCAGGCCTGGCTTCGCCCGTGCTCATGCCCACACACTTATGCAGGCTGCATACCACTCCACTTACGCACTTCCATCGCCACTCTCGACTCACAGCACATGGCACATGGCACATGGCACTTGGTGTCCTTGCTGCACTATCAACGGTACCATGTGTGTGCATCATTGCCCCCCCTTTGCGTGTGCACCAGGGCATGAACCGCGACTGGCTGTATGCATCGGAGGAGGGGCAGTGGCAGCTGGTGGAGTCAGCCAATGCACAGCGCCTCATTCTGGTAACACCCGCCCGCCTGTTCCTCCTCCTTCAATGCACGCTGGCCAGGCGGGCAGTGTGTGTGCATGTGCTCGCGCACTGTGATTCATCGCTTGTTTGCTGTTCCTCATGTTTCACCCGTGTCCTCGTGTCCCTGCCATGCGTGCTCTATGTGCGATGGCAACAGGTGCAGCAGAACGAGCAGCCGGGGCAGCTGCCATTGACCATGGCGCAAGTACAGGTCAGTCACTGTGCTCTTTCAGGAGCCTCACTCCGTTTCAACACTTGTGCACGCTGGGAGGCAATTTCCGTCCCGCGATCTGACCATGCCCGTGTGACGCGCTGCCTCTTGTGTTGACCGTGCGCTGCCTGGGGTGGGGGCAGGAGGAGCTGTCACCGCTGGTGCGGCAGCTGGCGCCAGAGTACTGCAGGAAGACCCGCTACGCCATCCCGTCAGTGCTGCCCCCCCCACCGCCTGCCCTCTGCCATGCCAGCTTTTAAGCCCCCTTGCTGCGTGTGCCTATGGGTCGCGGTCCATACTTGCTGAACACTTTATTGCATGCCCTGCATGGCAGCCGCTGCTGCACCTGCATGCTGCGCACATGCGTGTGTGCAGTGAACACTTAAGTCGTATGCTGTGCGGCACGGCACTGCCCCCCTGCGTGCGTGCCACCAGGTACATCACCACGGAGACGGCGGCCGTCACCGGCACTGTGCGCGCTGAGGTGCGTGCTGCCTCGCTGCCACTCTCTGCTCTCTCTCATCCTCCTCTGCGCGCTCGCCGTGTCTATTGTCGCTCCGCCCTGCCACCTACCATTCCATGTGCATGCATGTAACTTGGCGGCTTGTAAGCTTGTGTTCTTACAACGGCTTGTGAGCCATGAGTCACACAATCGCTGACACAAGGCATCCACACGCACCTTACATCAGGACTACTGATAACCTTGTGTTGTTACACTTGCCATGGCACCCGCATGTCACGGCACACTGCCGGTGACAACACTGGCAGGTGGTGTCAGCGGTGACGGGCGCCATGGTGGTGCTGGACGACGTGCGCTCGCCCCCCCTCTGCACGCGCCGCCTCGTCTTCCGCCGCAACCCCAACCTCGTGCAGTCCGAGGCCCTGCTCGTCCCCGCGCCGCCCCCCGCCCCTGCTGCCCCGCAAGAGGAGCCGCGCGGCAGCGCAGGGGGCGGGGCGTCTGATGGAATAGCCAAGGCGGGTGGGAAGAAAGGTGCGGCGGGAGGAAAGCAGAAGCAAGGGAAGGCAGCAGCAGCAGCAGCAGCAGCAGATACGGCAGCGGGTGCGAGTAAGAAGAGCAAGAAAGCAGCGGCGAAGGCCGGTCGGAAGCAGCAGGCGGCGGAGGAGGCGGGTGGGAGTGCAGCGGGGGAGTGGGTGGTGGAGCACGGGCAGCTGGCGAGTGAGTACCACGGCGCCATGCTGGCCGGGCTCAGCCTCCTGGCGCCGCTCATGGAGGCCAGGGAGACCACCAACGCCCAGGTCAGCACACCACACCGCCACTGCCACTCCACCTGCCCTCCATTTTGTGGCGGGGAAACCTCTTCAAGTGAATGCCGCCCGCCCAACAATCTCACCTGCCCATATACACGGCTTTCCTGCAAACTGCTTTCCTAATTCTCCCCTTGCAGCTGACAGCAGCCGTGATAGGGCTGGGCGGAGGGGCTCTGCCCATGTTCCTGCGCCAGCACTTCCCCTTCACACGTATCACCGTACGTCTCACCACTCGCACCATGCCTTACGCCCCACATGTCCATACTGGCCACGCCCCCGGGAAGCTCGTGTGGCTTGTTTGCACACCATGACGCCACCCCACCACCCCATTGTTCGCCACAGAACACCCCTTATCCGCGACAAGCCCTTTCATTCCTGTTAGCCTTTCTCTCCCACTCCTCAGTGCCGCATGCATAGCAGCGGGTGAGGGTGCCATGTGGTGCCTCATGTGCGTGTGCATGGGTGGCAGGTGGCGGAGCTGGATGCGGTCATGGGGCAAGTTGCCAGCGACCACTTCGGCTTCACACAAGACTCCGTGCTGCGAGTGGGTGCTCCTTGCGCTTGCTGGAATCATCTTCCACACCCCGCTTTTGTTCTATCGCTTGCTGCCTTGAAGCATTCGTTTCCGGCAGCCGTTCACCCTCTCCCCCGGAGCATGGCGCCGTGCGTGCATGGCAGTTGCACATTGGCGACGGTGTGGCGCTCGTGCAGTCCATGGCAGCGCCCCACGGCACCCAAGGGGCGCATCAAGAGGCACTGGTGGACCACACGGTAGCGCCAGTGCAGCGCGCCACAGCAGCTCTGGCCCTCTCAGGCAGTTCTGAGTGCGGCGGAGGAAGGCAAGGGGGAGCGGGGGTGGACGTGATATTCGTGGATGCCGACTCCGATGACCCCAGGTCACCCCACCATGCACCACTCTCAACGCACATCCTCCTCCCATCGTCCTTGCTTGTGCCTGTCTCCTTGCTCACGCATCTCCTCGTCCACCCCGTGTTGCCCACGTTGCCTTGGTACTACTCCGTTGCTCCACTACGGCTCATGTGTCGCCAACTCTTCACTCATGTTCACTTATGTGTCCTGCTTATTCTGCCTCTCATTATCCTGCCTCTCTCATGCTCGTGTGTCCTCACATTGACCTGGATCCACTCCTTTCCACACCGCTTCCCCCGTCCCTTCCCCTCCCCCCTTCAGCACGGGAATGAGCTGCCCGGCGCAAGTCTTCTTGGAGCCGCATTTTCTTCAGTCTGCCCGAGCTGCCCTGAATGAGGGAGGGATGCTTGTGCTGAACGTGGTTGCGCGGGCAAGCAGCAAGTACAAGGCGGCTGTAGCTGCTGTGCGACAGGTGGGTCTCCTGCACTCGCCCCACTCGCCTCACTCCCCGCATTTGCCTCACCCCATTCACCCACTCGCCTCACTCCCCCCACTCCCAACCACCGCCCCCCCCCCCTCCCCTCCTTCCCCTCCCTCTCCACCCTCCCTCCCTCCCCTCCCTCCCACACCCTCGCCTCACGCCTCCCCCCCACTCGTGCCACTCCCCCCCCGACCATGCGCGTGGTGCGCAGGTGTTCGCAGCGGTGTACGAGGTGGACGTGGATGGAGACATCAACCGCGTGCTCTTCGCACTGCCTGCCACGCCGCCTGCACTCGCTGCATGTGCAGATGAGGCAGCAGCAGCGAGGGCCCTCAAGCTTGGTGCAGTGCGTGTGGCGGCGCTGGCTGGGAGATTTGCTCCCTGGGGCAAAGGGCCCTCGCTCGTGAAGCTGGCAGGCACCCTCAAGTTGGCTGCATGACGAAATGAGTGGATCACTTGTGTTGTTAAGCCTGGCCATATACCGTCATCGCCCGGATAGAAGACATATATGTCTTATCTTATACATTAGAAAAAAAGTTTGCTGTGTCTTGCTACGATCAAATGTTGATCAATGTCAGGATCACCTCAGGAAGGTTCGCACACTTCTAGTCTAGCGGTGGTGGGCCCTTGACCTCAATAGCAGAGTGAATGTAAAATGCTTGAGATGGTCAAAACATGCGAATACAGCAAATATAAATATGAGTACAGGGAAGACGAAGCGACCTAGCTAGCCATGTACTCTAAGGGGTACATTCCTTTATTCAGATTCATTCGCAACCGTGCGACTCCGGGTGGTTACGAAACCGTTCGGGCAGAATCCTCGCCACTGCTGCTGCCTGATGCTGTCTGCCCGACGGTCCAGATGCTTCTCGTAACTGTGTGACCCTTCGCGTTACTTGCGCCCTTTCATCTTCAGTCTCGGTAGTGCATGCTGCGTTTGCTGCGGTGAGGAGTGCACAGTTATAATCAAATATTACTATTCGTAACACCCCCCTTCACTCCTGGTCGTAGCTCGACTTGACCTGCTTGACCACGCCGCTAAATTCGGAGCAGTGCTGGTACTGCTGGCGTGGCAGTCGCTTGGTGAGGAAGTCTGCTGCCATGTCACCGGTCGGGCAATAGGTCAAGTTGACCTTGCCCTTGTCCACTTCGTCCTTCACGAAGAAATACCGCAACGCAATGTGCTTGGTGCGGTTGACGAAACCAGGCTTGTTCGCGATGCGAATCGCGCTCTGGTTGTCACAGTGGAGACAAAAGGTGGACGAAGCTGGAATTTTCGCCTCCTGCAGAAGTTCCTGAAGGTAGAGGCCTTCGCGAACTGCTGCGGTTGCTGCGATGAATTCCGCTTCGGCTGATGACAGGGCAACCAACTCCTGCTTCTGTGAATTCCAGGAGATTGGTCCCGTTGGTTCGAGTCGGAACAGGAAGCTTGTCCTGGACCGTCGATTGTCGGGATCTGCTGCATGGTCGGCGTCCACATAGCCGATGAGATTGAAGGATGGGGTTGGCGCAGTTGAGTAGCACAGCCCAATCTTGGGCGTCGAAACGAAGAATTGCAGGGCGCGCTGCAGGTCCAGGAGATTCTCAGCCGTTGGTTTGCGTGAGCACCAACTGGCTCGCGATGTAGGAGAGGTCTGGCCTGCAGGTGACAGAGGCGAAGAGCAGACATCCCAACTGCTGCTAGTATGTCTGAACTCCAGCAGGGGATAGGGCTTTGTTGTCAGGCTTGTGATTCGGTCCGGGGGTTCGATAGGGAGTTGAGAGGGGTGCGGGTAAAATGTTGAACCGCTTCCCTAACTCCTCTGCGTACTTAGCTGCTGAGAGGTGAATGGCTTCAGGAGCGTAGGAGATGTTAAGGCCTAAGAACTGTTTCACCTCGTAGTTGCATGTGATGTCGACGCGCCCCGCCAAAGCTTTCTCGAACTGCTCGAGTAGCTCGTTGCTTGAGCCTGTGTAGAGCAGGTCGTCGAAATAAACCGTGAGGAGAATGTATTCGCCGCGGAAGTCGCGGCGATACATCCCTTGATCGTGAGGCATCTGCTTGAACCCGATTTCAAGCAGGATGTTGTGCAAGTACTGTTGCCACAGTCTCGGCGCCTGCTTAATCCCGTAGAGCGATTTGCGCAGCTGACACACGCGCGAGTCCCCTTCGCCGTATGTGTGCGGCTGCTCCACGTAGATCACGGCGTCCACTAACGCGTACAGGAACGCGTTTTTCACATCGATCTGGCGGAGTGGCAGGTGCCTTGCAGCTGCGATTGCGAGCAAGATTCGAACGGAGGTGTGGCGGCTGACTGGAGCAAACGTCTGGTCGAAGTCGATGCCATGCCTTTGGTCATAGCCGCGCACCACCCAACGCGCCTTGAAGCGCTCGATCATTCCATCCGCTGCGGTCTTCACGCGGAAGACCCACTTCCCCGAAAGGATCCTTGCGCCTTTGATTGCCGCACGGTCGACCAACACCCAGGTGTCTCGGGACTCGAGCGCCTTGATTTCCGCGTCCATTGCCTCGCGCCATTCCTTGCTGTGCGATCCAGAGAGAGCTTCGCGCGGATTTTGAGGCTCAGTGACTCGTGGCGCCTTTGAGGTTGCAGTGTGAAGCCCGAGCAGCTGCAGTCCGGAAACGGTGCTGTCATGGCGACGTTGCGGGACGACTTCCTGCACATCGTCGTCATCGCTTTCTGGTTCAGGTGGCGCTGGTGGTGCTGCGCCTCCACCGCTTCCGCCTGTTCCGCCCATTCCTCTCCCGGAGGAATCGTCGTCGTCATCGTCGCTGCTGCGCCGATCTTCCCATGCGAACTCGCCCCTAGTGTCCTGCTCCAGGATTGCTGCAGCGGCTTCGTCTTCGGGCGTTGCGTAGCTGTGCCCGTCATTTGCGTAGACGCGGTTCGCGTTTGTTTGCTCGTCGTGACGGAACTGGTCGAGGAAGAGACGTTCGTAGAAGATTACATCGCGAGCGTGGGTAGTCTTCTGACTGAGCAGGTCCAGCACGATCCACGCCTTGTGCTCGTGGCTGATGCCAAGGTGAATGCCCCAGCGCGCGCGGCTCGCGAATTTGCCGATGGTTGACGTCGGCGGGCGGTATTGTACCATGCACCCCCAGACGCGGAGCATGGAGGTGTCGCCCTTGGTCCCGGTCCACTTCACGTGCGGGGACAAGTTGCCGGTGATGGCGGTGGTTGACAGGAGGTTATGCACCCGCACGGCGTGGTGCATCGCGTAAGTCCAGTAAATTGGCGGCAGCTTCGACTGCTTCATCAGCGCCCGCACCTTCGTCATCAGCGTGCGGTTCGTCCGCTCAGCTACGCCCTGCTGCTGGTGTGCGTAGGGGAGAGAAATATGATGCTCGATCCCCTTTTGCGCCAGGTAAGTGTGAAAATGAAACGAGGAATGGTTGAACTGAGCAGCATGAGAAGTACAAGTACCAAACCCTAAAGTGTTGTACCCCATATAAGCTACCCCACTACAGCCTACACAGACTATAGTGTATGAGTTTGACACACCCCCATAGGCAAAGTGGGGGAGAGCAAGGGGTCACAAGACCAGTCAAGCAAAGCAAGGCAAAGCAAGCTCAGGGTAGATCACAACGTCACCACACATTCTGAGCACAAGTTCAAGGCCACAAGGCCAGTTCACATGCAAGATTACATATATATAAGGCTAAACAAGCAAGAGCAGGTATATATATATGTAACAGTACAAACAAGGTCAAGAAGTGAGCAAGTGAGGCAAGGTAGGCACAAGGCCCAGCTGAGTACAGAAGCGCTGATGATCACAAGGCCAGCATGACCTTGTTGTCTACGTACAGCACTAGAGGAGAACGAGGCGGCTCTCCGAGGTCAGTCAGCAGGTAGGTGAGCCAGCGAAGCTCCTGTGCAGCCATGGCCCCTGCGTAGATCTCAGCCTCACAACTGGAGCCGAGAACAGAAGACGAGCGGGTAGCCCGCCACGAAACAGAGCCGGAACCAAGGCTGAAGGTGTAACCCTGTGACGACCGCTGCGTAGCCTGGTCGTCAGCCCAAGAAGCGTCTGCGTGCCCAGTGAGGACCACTGGACTCTGCCCTCCAAGCACAAGCCCCATGCCCGACGTACTGCACAAGTAGCGCAACACCCTCTTCGCTGCAGCCATGTGCTCCGGTCTGTGTCTCCCGGGAGCAACATAGCGTGCGAGAATGCTAAGAGGGTATGCAAGGTCAGGTCGTGTGCAGGTCATCAGGTACATGAGGCAGCCAACAAGCTCTGGGTATGGGCCACTCGACTCTACGGACTCATCCGAAGGCAGAGCTGAGAGCGAGTGGCGAGTAGGCAGAGGAGTGGCCTGAGGCGAGGAGTACGTGAAGCCGAAGCGCTGAAGGACCTGCTGCACCATGTGTGACTGAGTCAGGGTAATGGTGCGCTGTGCTCTGTCCCGGGTGATCTGCAAGCCAAGGTAGCTGCGCAGTTCACCCAGGTCTGTGCACGTGTGTCTCTTCTGCAGCTCGGACTTCACGTGGGCGAGTCCAGCAGTGTCAGCTGTGGCAAAGACCAAGTCGTCGACGTACACGAGGATGTAGAACGGCGGCAAAGAAGTGTCGGTGCGCAGAAACAGCGACGGGTCGGCAGTAGAGGGAGCAAACCCAAGAGCCGCAAGTGTAGTCCTCAGTGTGTCGTGCCACTCACGCGGTGCCTGGCGGAGACCGTAGACTGGCCGCCGGAGGCTCCACTGGGTGCCAGGAGGAAAAGTCCCAGTGAAGCCAAGTGGGCGGCGCAGCCAGATCTCCTCGTGCAGGCTGCCCTGCAAGAAAGCAGTGCTGAAGTCAAGAGAGTGCAGCTCGTAGTCACGGTGAGCAGCTATGTGCAGCAGTACCCGAAGAGTGGTCATCTTCGGGGTGGGAGAGAAGGTCTGAAAGTAGTCAACTCCCTGGCGCTGACTGAAGCCACGAGCCACGTAACGCGCCTTGAAGACAGGCGGAGAACCCGGCGGCCGCTTCACCCTGAAAATCCACATGCCACTGACGATGTTCGCCCCAGGCGGGGGAACCTCGTCAACGTAGGTGCCTGTGGACTTCCAGGAAGCCATCTCTGCGTCCATAGCTGCCTGCCACTGAGAGGAGTAGGGACCCTCTATCGCCTCCGCGTAAGAGCGCGGAGTCGGGATGTCAAGTGCATCCGGGTCTCCCTCAGGGGTAAGCAGTACGGACACGAGATGAGGTGAAGCAGCAGCCAAACACTGGAACTCCTCCTGCCTGTCCTCAAGGACGTCCGTGCCAAGGGCACACTCACCCCCGACGGACGGAGGACAGACAGACTTAGACTCAGCAACAAGACTAGCAGCGTAGTCTAGACGACAGCGAGCAGCAAAGTCAACGAGCTCAGCAACTAGGGCAGACGCAGCAGTGGACTCAAAGGAAGGGTCAGTGACAACAGTAGCAAGGAGACGCGTGACAGTCGGACTGGCAG